AAAAAAGGAGCTTCCTACGAGATGTTGGACTGTACTTGAGAAAGAACAAATGCTGAATGAAACAAAAGAACAAATGTGGAACCAAACTTTGGAGAATACCTACAAGAATTGGTTCTATGAAGCCTGGGGTTTTAAGGAGGGAAAATGGTATGGGCACTATGGACCTGTTGATATCATAAGGATTACTGAATAGAATTTTTAGAATTTTAATATAGGATTACTGGATAGAATTTTAGAATTTTTATGTACATAATTTATTATATAATTTAGTAATTTCAAAATGTTTCTATTAAAATAAGTAATTTTTGCCGAAATTATATAACTGGTATTAAGCACGTACTAATAGATCGGTCAATATAAATATCTCTTTTTCACATAATTTTATTCAAAAAACTAGTAACATAGTGTGCTACACTGCTATAAGAAATCAATAATCACATGATGTATTCATGCATTCAAAATTTTATTTGCCAAAATTCTTATGTACAAATACCAATTCAATTTTTACATTGCAGTGGATACTACTTTACTGAAAGTTATAAAATTTAGTACGTACGTAAGTTTTGCGTTCTTACACTAAATCTAGATTCTGAGTGAATGTAGCAATCCACGTAACAGTGATCTACATTCCTAACAAAGATAAAATAGATCCCTGATCTTTGCTTTTATGTTTTGTGTTTAATTAGTTTCTTCAAGAAAGTAATTCGCCGCATTTCTTTTATATAAAATGGATAAGATTTATAGAATAATAAATTTTATATTATTGTCATAACTAAAGTTGACGCAACTTCAGCTGACTAAAATGTATTGACTGAAATTAGTCCTGAAATTAGATTAAATTATTATTGTTATTATTGTAAGACTGAATCAATATTTATTTTAATCATGACACAATTATAAGTATTAAACTATAATGAAACAGGGTTGAATAGTGCTCATACACTTTGTGTTTCTTTTTAATTAACCATTAAAATTGCAAAATTAATATAACATCTAGATCAATTTATATAACAAAAAACAAATTCAAATCAATTAATCAATTTTATATAACAAAAACAAAATTAATTATATCAAAATTTGTTTATAAAATCATTTGAGTTTTAATCAAGTTTTTTTT